CTGTAACAGGTATCTGTGTGTGTGTACTGATTAGAACTCAAGGCCTGGAGCCAGGCACTGGTGGCTCACGCCTATAATCTAGCTACTCAGAAGGCTGAGATCTGGGATCGCAGTTCAAACCCAGCCCAAGCAGGAAAGTCTGTGCAACTCTTATCTCCAATAAACCATCAGGAAACTGGAAGTGGGGCCGTAGCTCAAGTGGTAGAGCACTAGCCTTGAGCTGAAGAGCTGAGGGACAGCGCCCAGGCCCAGAGTTCAAGCCCTATGACCAAAGAAAAAAGAACTCAAGGTTTGGGCATTGTCCTTTAGCTTTTTCACTCAAGGCTGGAACGCCACTGTTTTGTTTTTGTTTTCCTTTTGGTCGTTAATTGGGAGATAAATCTCATGGACTTTTTTTTTCCAGGGCTGGCTCCAAACCTGAATCCTCAGATCTCAGCCTCCTGAGCAGCTGGGATTACAGGCGGGAACCACAGGCACCTGTCTCTACAGCAAGTCATTGGGTCAACCAAGAAAGTCTAGAGAAGGAGGTGATGAGCGTCTATGGAAATACTATAAGCCGTGTGTTAGCAAGGACTGCACTTGTGTAGATTTGGGGTCTGCTTCGGGGGAGGGGGAGGCCGAGGAGGGGGAGGCCGAGGAGGGGGGTGTGGAATGGAGGAAGGTCGTTGATTCGAACTCCATGGATACCTACACAAGGAAGAAGTGTACTGCGTGTACCCTGTGTAGGTTATTAGCTCTTTGCTGTGTCCCTGGGAAACCGGCCTCTCCCCCACACCCACACCCCAAAACCACGCCTGACAGCTCTCCCCCAAGAGCGTCGCCGACAGAAGCTGCTGGAAGGTCCTTCCTCACCTAGCTGACCCGCCACCAGCTTCCTCCTCGCGGCTGTCCTGGCCCTGCGGCTGTTCCTTGCCGTCCCCCATGGGCTGTGGCTCCGAGTCGCTGTCTTCTCTGTGGGCCGGGTCCACCTGCGAGCACAGCCCACGCTGGAGAGGCCGCTTGGGGGGTGGGGGAGAGGGAGACCCCGCCCCTGAGACCCTGGGTGGGGGGAACCCCCGACATAGGGGGTCTCCGGATGGGGAGACCTGCGGGGTCCCGGGTGAGGATGGAGGCGCAGTGGGAGGAGAGGCGGCCGGGCCGGGGTGGCGCATGGCGGGCCAGGCCGCCGCCGCCCCGCCCCGCCGCGCCGCGCGCCCGGCGTGGGAGTCGGTCACGCCCCGCCCGGGCCCCGGCCGTCAGTCAGCCGACACCGCGCGACCGGCCGCCTCGGCGGTAGGGAAGAAGGGGCCGGGTTCGGTGCTGCGGGGGAAGCCCAGGATCGCGGCCGTTCCTTTGGCCGCTTGCTCGCCCGCCCGCCCCTCCACGTGAAGGACGCCGACACCGCCGCTTACTCCCTGACGCTCCATTCGGTCTTTTCCCGCCTTTTACGCGCGCGCGTTCTGCGCACGCGCAGCCTCCGTCCCCTCCCCCCGCGCGCCCCGCCCACGCGGGGGACCTGCGCGCGCAGACGGACCCGGCCGAGCCGTTGGGCGGCAGTTGAGCTGTACCGGGATTGCGCGCGCCCCGCCGGCGCCTCGCGCAGCGCGCATGTGCGCGGGCCCCGCGTCCCCCGTGGCGTCAGGCTCGCGGAAGTGTGGCTCGGTACGGGGTATTCCCCGTCTCAGTTTACTGTCTGGGGTTTGTGCTTCCCCAGTGACGCTGCGAATCTAACGGTAGGCTGCAGGCATGAGATGGGATTGCTCTTGGGCGCCCAGGCCGGCTTCGAGCTGGGTATCTGCGGCGTGCGCTGGGGCCGGGGAGGCGGCGCCGCGGTGGAGAGCCGGCCGCGCCCGCCCGAGGCCCGGGCTCCCTGCGCAGCGCACTAGCACAGAAAAATAAAGCTCTTGATTGAAAACAGAAAGCAAGCTTGGTCATGAAGAAAAATCACCTCAGCCGCGCCGCGGCCCTGAGGCCCCCGCCCGGCCCCCCGGGAGGCCGAGGCCCACGCCGGCCCCCCCTTCCCCCAGGAGGCCATGGCCCGAGGCCCACACCCGTCCCCCCAGCTACTCAGGAGACAGATCTGAGGATCGCTGTTCAAAGCCAACCCGGGCAGGAAAGACTGTGAGATTCTGATCTCCAATAAACCACCAGAAAACTGGAAGTGGTGCTGTAGCTCACCTCACACTGAGGAGCTGAGGGACAGCGGTCAGGCCCAGAGTTCAAGCCCCACAACAGCCCCCCCCCAATAAAAAAAACATCTCTTAATAGCAACGGACAGAATGTGTTGCAAAATTTTTAAGGGTGGTTCAGATGGCAGAGCACCTGCCTAGGAAGAGCCAGGCCCCAAATTAACACTACTCATGCACACAAAACTTACAAAGGGCTGGGAAGGTGGCTCAGTGGTAGAGCGCTTGCCTCACATTCATGAGGTCCTGGTTTTGATTCCTCAGCACCACATAAGCAGAAAAAGCCAGAAGTGGCGCTGTGGCTCAAGTAGTAGAGCACTCACCTTGAACACATGCTTACGGACAGCGCCCAGCCCCAAGTTCAAGTACCAGGACCAGCCTCCCAAAACACACACATAATTTGAAATAATCAGATACTCAGAAGGTCCCAAGTTCAAAGATAGCCTGGGCTATAGTTAACCTAGGTAACTTAGATCATGACTTTTTTTTTGGTCAGTCGTAGGGCTTGAACTCTGGGCCTGGGCGCTGTCCCTCAGCTCTTCAGCTCAAGGCAGCACTCTACCACCTGAGCCACAGCGCCACTTCCAGCCTTTTCTGGTTATGTTGTCCCAGGCATACAAGGCAAGCCTCTACCACAGAGCCACCTTCCTAGCCCCCACGTTTCGAGTTTTTTGGCTAGCCTCGGGGCTTGACCTGGGCACTGTCCCTGAACTTCTTTTGTTCAGATAGCACTCCAACATGCCATCATACCACTTCCGGCTTTTTCTGTTGATGTGGTACTGAGGAATCAAACTCAGGGCTTCACGCATGCTAGGAAGCTGTCTACCACCAAGCCACATTACCCGCTCAAGTCTCAACACAAGACCTTAAATACAAAGATTCTGCAGCAGATGGCACTTACTGAGGAGGGTGAGCCATGGGTTCTAGCAGCTTTACTGAGTTCTCTAAATTGGGCTTACTTTGTGTGTGTGAAGAGGCACAGGGGTTTATATGCAGGTCCTAATGCTCTTGGCATGGCTTCTCTCAAGTCTTGACACTCTCCCACTCCAGGTACATCTGTATGTCTGGCTTTTTCTCCCCACCAGTCCTGGGGCTTGAACTCAGGGACTTGGGCTCTGTTCTTGAGCTAGCACTCTACAACTTGAGCCACAGCATCACTTCCTTTACTGGTGATTTTATTGGAGATAAGAATCTCACGGGGAGCCGGGTGCTGGTGGCTCACACCTGTAATCCTAGCTACTCAGGAGGCTGAGATCTGAGGATCGCGGTTCAAAGCCAGCCCGGGCAGGAGAGACCGTGAGACTCTTATCTCCAATAAACCACCAGAAAACTGGAAGTGGCGCTGTAGCTCAAGTGGTAGAGCGCTCGCCTTGAGCTGAAGAGCTGAGGGACAGCGCCCAGGCCCAGAGTTCAAGCCCCACGACCGACAAAAAAAAAAGAATCTCACGGGGGGGGGGGGGGGGGGGGGGGGGGGGGAGGAGGCAGCGCGGTGGGGGGGGGGGCTGGGAAGGTGGCTGAGTGGTAGAGCGCTTGCCTTGCATGCCTGAGGCTCTGGGTTCGATTCCTCAGCACCACATAAGCAAAAAGAATAAAAGCCGGAAGTGGCGCTGTGGCTCAAGTGGTAGAGTGCTAGCCTTGAGCTGAAGAGCTGAGGGATAGCACCCAGGCCCAGATTTCAGGCCCCACGACCGGACCCAAAAAAAAGAATCTCACGGCTTTTTCCTGCAGGCTGATTTTGAACCGCAATCCTCACATCTCAGCCTCATGAGTAGCTAGGATTACAAGTGTGAGCCACCGGCGTCCGGCAACTTTACTGACCAGGCTGGTTTTGAACCGCTATCCTCAGATCTTAGCCTCCTGAATGGTTAGGATTACAGAAGTGAACCACCAGCAATTACCTTTTATTTTTTTGAACTAAGAACTTGCTATGGAGTCTGAACTGGCTTTGAAACATGACATCTTTCAGCCTCTTGAATGCTGGGGTTACAGCAATGTACTATCAAACCCTTTGCCTTTTATTTTCCTTCAACATCAGCACCTGAACTCAAAGTCTTCAGCTGACAGCACTAGAGCGGGATCTCTAGCTTGGCGTGTGTTTAAAGCTCAGGGCCAGGGCAATGTCCCTAAGCTAGTGTTCTACCATTTGAACCACAGCTCCGCTTCCAACCTGTTGGTGCTTAGTTGGAGATGAGTCTCATGACTTCATTGCCTGGACTGGCTACTGTTATTATTGATGAGATGGAGCTGCTCTTCCCCAGAAGGCCTGGCCCAGCCTGCCTAGGACCCACGCCACTCCCCAGCTTTTTTGTTGTTGGTCGTGGGGCTTGAACTCTGGGCCTGGGTGCTGTCCCTGAGCTCTTGATCTCAAGGCAGAGTGTTTTTTTTTTTTTTGCCAGTTGTGGGGCCTGAACTCTGGGCCTGGGCGCTGTCCCTCAGCTCTTCAGCTCAAGGCGAGCGCTCTACCACTTGAACTACAGTGCCACTTCCGGCTTTTTCTGCTTATGTGGTGCTGAGGAATTGAACCCAGGGCCTCATGCATGCAAGGCAAGCGCTCTACCACTGAGCCACCTTCCCAGCCCCAAGGCAGAGTGTTCTACCACTTGAGCCATACCGCCACTTCCATTTTTCTGGTGGTTCAGTGGAGATAAGAGTCGTACTTTTCCTGCAAGGGCTGGCTTTGAACTCTGATCCTCAGATCTCAGCCTCCTAAGTGGCTAGAATGACAGGCATGAGCCACGGCGCCCGGCTCCCAACTCTCTCTCTGGGGCCCCCTCACCTGTTTTCTTCTAGATTCAGTCCCAGGCTGAGACGGAAGGACCCCACTGGACCCTTAGGGCGTCTCCACATGGGGGCTGCGGCCCGCTTTATTGCACAGCAGAGCCACCCGCCCAGCTTCACGGCCGGACAGCCGGGTGACAGGAAGAGCCTCTCGTGGGCACGTGTCCGGGATGAGTCGGGGGAGAGAGAAGGGCTGGCCTCACAGAGGCCTCATCAGTACAGTGGGGTCACTGGTGAGGGCGGCAGGGCCTCGGATCACGCAGCCTCCTGTGTATGCGTGGGTGTGTCCACGTCCAGGCGGCACAGGGGACTGTCGTACACCATCTGCAGGTTCACCTTGTGGCCCACCAGCTCCCGGATGTTGTTGATGCCGTACTTGATCATGGTGGGGCTGGAAGGGAAAGTGAGCAATGAGACTCTCCACTTGGAACCTGAGGGCTTCCATCAGCTGAGGAAAAGCGCTGTGGCCCCCAAGACCTCCATGGCCTGCCACCTCCCCCATGTCCTCCCATTTGCCCCCTCGCTCTCTGGCTCTTCTCCAGACCCACCAGGCCCGGCCCAGCCTCAGGGCCTTTGCACTGGCTGGATGAGACATCCTTGCGTCTTCCTGTTATCACTGGTCTGCTCAGGAGCTGCCTCCTCCATGAAGCCCTCCCTGACTCCCTTGTCTGCTGAGCTGGCACTGCCGGCTCTGGGACACACAGCCTAGACTATTGGCTGCATTGACTCCCTGGTCTTGCTGTAGTTCACCTGGATTTCCCGTGGACCCAAGCGCGGTGGCAGACACAGATGCTGAGTGTCATCACGCAGGACAGATCCTTTGAGAGGCATGAGTGGACCTGCCCACGCCGGGCAGTCCGGGAGGGGGCACTCACCGCTCCAGCGAGAGCCCCCAGGCAATGACCGACACATTCTCAGGGAGCCCCATAGGCAGCAGCATCTCGGGGCGAAAGAGGCCTGAGTTCCCAACTTCCACCCACTTCTTCAGGCCTGCAGGGCAGAAGGAAGGCAGGGAGTTGTATGGGGGGTAGTGGAGGGAAGAGGCTCCCAGGCCACGCCAAGGGGTGCCCCAGACCTTGATGGTAGCTGAACACCTCCATGCTGGGCTCTGTGTAGGGGTTGTAGGCCGGCTTGAAGCGGAGCTGCGTGATTCCTGCAGGGGACAGCGGTGGCTGATGGTGGAAGTGGCTCCTCCATGCTCCCTGGCCCGGCCCCCAGCCCGCCCCGCCAGCTCACCCAGCTTAGTGAAGAACTCCCGCAGGACGCCCATGAGGTGGCCCAGGTTGAGCCCGTGGTCAGCCACCACGCCCTCGATCTGGTGGAACTCAGCCAGGTGCGTGGCGTCCAGGGTCTCGTTGCGGAACACGCGGTCGATGGAGAAGTACTTGGCTGGTGTGAAGGGCTTCTGGGGGGGGGGGGTGACAGCCAGGCCAGGTGGGGCCCGGATGGGGGTCAGAAGGTCCAGAGGCCAGCCAGAGCTAGCCACCCCTGCCCAGGCCACTCCGCACCTTCTGGGCCAGGCGGTAAAGGGCCCGGGCGCTGGCCGAGGTGGTGTGGGTGCGCAGGAGGTTCTTCTTAGCCTCATCCAGCTTCCAGCTGTATTTGTAACTTCAGAGCAAAAGGAAGGCGGGTGGTCCATGCACTGCCCTGGCCTTCGGCCTCCTTCCCCGGGCCTCCTCTCCCGCACCTCTCCCCAGGCCCAGCCTCCGTCCGGACTCACCCCTGGGAGCCGTAGCCACCCTGCGAGTGGGTCCGCTTCACACGCTGTACGTAGTCCATGGGCAGCTGCAGGGCCTCGGCTGGATCTAGCAAGCGGCAGCAGTGAGACTCGAACTCAGGGCCTCGCACATGCTCAGCAGGTGCTCTACCACTTAAACCACGCCCCTCTGACACCTTAGCTCAGAACTCTGTGAGGCTCCCACCTTACCCAGAAGATACTCAAGTCCTGCCCCAGACCTGTCCCTGCCTCTGTGTCTTCCCTCTAGTCACGACTCATTCCTGCCTCGGGACTCCCATCTACAGTTCTCCAAAAATATGGCCTCCTCCCTCACTTTACCTCTGTTTCAACAAAGACCACCCTCCCCAGCGCAGGGGCTTCTGCCTCCTTCCCGACTGTGTGTTAACAGATGAGGCACAAAAAAGAGAATGAGAGAACCATCTGCTGAGTACACTGTGAACTTTCTTTTCCTGCCAGGGTCAGGCCCTGGCACAGACTAAATGAGTGTTGAACCTCTGCCCTCAACTCCAGTGGCTAGGACGGCCCTGAAGATCTGGGGCAAACTGGCTCCTGGGAGAGGGCGCAGCAGGAGCAAAGGCCCTGGGGTAGGCACCACTGGCATATTCAGAGGAAAGCAGACATTAGACCATGGTGAGCGGAAACCAAGAGGCCCCTCAGCCACCCCAGCATGGACCCACCTCGCAGGAAGAAGGTGTCGTGCTGGTCCCTCGCGGGGTGTTGCTGGGGCTGGAAGAGGGCATCAAAGTTCCAGAAAGAGCTCTCGATGAAGTTGTCCGTTGGCATCTCGGTGAACCTAGGGGAAGACCAGCCTGATGTGCCCACCCTTGCCTGGGCCCAGGCGCTGTGCCCGCAGCATGCTCACCCTGGGCCCCGTACTCACCCCATCTCTAGGAAGATCTGCCGGAACTGGGAGCGGACCTTGAGTAAGGGGTGCAGGTGGCCGCTGTCGGGGGGCACTCCGCGGGCTGCGAAGTTGTAGGGCTTGAAGGACCTGTTCTGCCAGGAGCCACTGTGGGGGGACGGGATGCCCCAGCCTGGTGAAGGCTGCCCAGCCCCACCACCACCCAGCCCCACCTGGGCACAGCCTGTGGGCACCTGTGCTACCTGGAGATCATGTCTGGGCTCAGCTCTGCCTCCTGCTTGGAGATGCTGGTGCTGAAGGCCTTGCCTTTGCTTACCCAGTAGGTCTTCAGGGTCCTGCGGCCAGAGAAAGGCATGGGAGGTCACCTACGCAGCCACCTCACGTGGCCCCCCGCCCGTGTTCACTCATAGCCAGTCAACAAACGCGTGTGCCGGTGTCTGCTCCACACACAGCCAACAGCTGGGATGCAGTGTCGGTGAAATCTAGAGGGCGCTGCCACCACAGCCCTGTGAGAAGGGGCTGTTGTACAGACAGGGAAACTGAGGCCAGAAGAGGCCAAGTGACTTGGCCGTGGTCAGCAAAGGTAGACCTTTTGTGTGTGTGTGCTAGCACTGGGGCTTGAATTCAGGGCCTTGCGCTCTCACTGGCTTTTCTGCTCAAGGCTGGTACCCTACCTCTTGAGGCACAGCTCCACTCTGGCCTTTTTTTGTTTTGTTTTTTGGGGGGGTCGGTCGTGGGGCCTGAACTCGGCCTGGGTGCTGTCCCTCAGCTCTTCAGCTCAAGGCAAACACTCTACCACTTGAGCCACAGTGCCAGTTCCGGCTCTTCCTGCTTATGTGGTGCTGAGGAATTGAACCCAGGGCCTCATGCATGCAAGGCAAGCGCTCTACCACTGAGCCACCTTCCCAGCACCGACACCCGCCCTCCCCCGCCCTTTAAACACTAGTTATTTGGAAATAAGAGTGGCTACAAACCTTGATCCTCACTGGTGCGGGTGGCTCATACCTGTCATCCTAGCTACTCAGGAGGCTGAGATGTGAGTATCACAGTTCAAAGCCAGCCCAGGGAGGAAAGTCCATGAGACTCTGATCTCTAATAAACCACCAGAAAACTAGAAGTGGCGCTGTGGCTCAAATGGTAGAGTGCTCACCTTGATCTGAAGAGCTGAGGGACACCACCCAGGCCAAGTTCAAGCCTCAAGACTGACAAAACACAAAACCCTGATCCTCGGATCTCAGCCTCCTGAGTAGCTAGAATTAGAGGTCTGAGTCCCTGGCACCTGACTTAGGATTGACCCAGAAGATCCATAGGAAGAGAGTTCTTTTTTTTTTTTTTTGGGTCCGGCAATGAGGCCTGAACTCTGGGCCTGGGCGCTGTCCCTCAGCTCTTCAGCTCAAGGCTAGCGCTCTAACACTTGAGCCACAGCGCCATGTCCAGCTTTTTTCTTTTTGCTTATGTGGTGCTGAGGAATCGAACCCAGGGCCTCAGGCATGCAAGGCAAGCGCTCTACCACTGAGCCACCTTCCCCAGCCCAGCCCCAGGAAGAGAGTTCTTAGCAGTAGGGGCAGCAGGGGCAAAGGCCCTGGGGTCACAAATGCAGATGGAAAGGCGGACTGGGGGGAGCCATGGTCTCCCCCACACCCCACTCTCCCCAGCTCAAGCCACTCACACTTCAGTCAGCAGCTTCCTCTTCCGCAGTTCATTTCTTTCTTTTTCAGCCAGTTTCTCGGCCTGTCCCCCCTGGACCAACTGGAGCCGCCGCTGCACCTCATCGTCTATGCTCTCCACCTGCAGGAAGTGAGGTTTGAGGCCTGGGCGCCCCTGCGGCCCCCACCCCGTGTGCCCACCTGCATACGGGGAGACTCACCATGCGGAACACACGGGGCCCCTCGGCCGCGCTCTTGTCCACGCGGATCCACTTGTTGGACATGGCCTTGCTGAAGCCCACCTTCCCGCTGGGCAGCCGCTGGGGGTGTCAGGCAGGGGTGAGTGGGTACGCTGCAAGCCCCCTCCCCACTCCCTGCACTCCCTCACCCCTGCTTGCAGGCAAATACCATGAGCTCGCTCTGCGCCAAGCCCTCCGCGGGGACACTCTGGAACACACGGGCCTCGTGGCTGCCCTCCCGGGCCATCTCTTCGCCCTCCGCGGTCAGCTCCCAGCGCTTGGTGGAGCGAAGCTCAGCCTCGATCACCTGCAGGGAGATGGGGAGCACGAGTGGAGGTGGGTGCAGAGCCAGGCCTCTTCCCCAGGCAGCACCCGAGGCTGAGATTTGAAGCCCAGCCTCCCAGCCGAGGGACCCAAGGCAGGACGTCCCCGGCCCAGCCTCGAGGTCCTTCATGTGACACACAGTTCTCTTTTAATTTTTTTTTTTGGGGGACGGTGCCATTAGTGAGGCTTGAACTCAGGGCCTTGTATTCTCTTGACTTTTTCATTCAAGGATAGTGCACTACTACTTGAGCCACAGCTCCACTTCCAGCTTTTTGGTGGTTCATTGGGAATACGAGTCTCAGGACTTCCCTGCGTAGCCTGGACTCAAACCATGGTCCTCAGATCTCAGCCTCCTGAGAAGCTAGAATAACAGGAGCTACCTGTGCCCAACTAAGTTCTTCCTTTGTAGTGCTAGAGATGGAATCATGGTCTCCTGCATGCTAGGCAAGTGCTCCATGCTCCTGCCTTTTTGCTTGATTCCTCAGTTTTGGGTTTTTTTTGTTTTTTGGTCAGTAGTGGGGCTTGAACTCAGAGCCTGGGTGCTGTCCCGGAGCTTTTTTTGCTGAAGGCTAGCATTCTACCACTCTGAGCAATGGCACCATTTCTGGCCTTTTCTGTTTATGTGGTACCGAGGGTTTGAATCCAAGGGTCATGTTTGCTAGGCAAGCATTCTACCACTAAGCTACATTCCCAGACCATGTAACTTCTTATATTTTTTTTTATTTTTTAGGGTCCGGCATGGGGCCTGAACTCTGGGCCTGGGTGCTGTCCCTCAGCTCTTCAGCTCAAAGCTAGCGCTCTACCACTTGAGCCACAGCTCCACTTCCAGCTTTTTTCTTTTTGCTTATGTGGTGCTGAGGAATCGAACCCAGGGCCTCAAGCATGCAAGGCAAGCACTCTACCACTGAGCCACCTTCCCAGCCTCCTTCAGTTTGTTCTTTAGACAGGGTCTTATACTTTTACCCAGCCTGTCTTGAACTCTGATCATCCCACCTCAGCTTCCTAAGTAGCTGGGATTACAGGTGAGCCCAACTGTGCCTGGTTCCACCATAACTTTGATCTCTGCAATCTGAACATGAATTTCAAATCCAGTTTTACTAGCCCCCTACTAGTGACAATAGTGAAGTTACTAATCTGTGTCGAGTACCATTTGTCGTATCTACCCAATGGGGACAATAAGAATGCCATCATTCTAGGATTATGGCAAAGATTAGACAACAACTAAAACTAAGACTAAAGTAGGCACAGAACTTCTCTTTAAAAATAAGTGGCACAGGGCTGGGAAGATGGTTCAGTGGTAGAGCGCTTGCCTTGCATGCATGAGGCCCTGGGTTCGATTCCTCAGCACCACATAAGCAGAAAAAGCCGGAAGTGGTGCTGTGGCTCAAGTGGTAGAGCACTACTAGCCTTGAGCTGAAGAGCTGAGGGACAGCGCCCAGGCTCAGATTTCAAGCCCCACGACTGACAAAATGAATAATAAATAAATGGCACAGATCCTGATGTCATGGATCTAGCTTTCTGGGTGGCCCGTGAGCTCCCCAGAAGCATCTGGGACTCCATCACCTTCCATGTAGCCCCATCAGAATGCTGGGATTTACCCCTGTCATCCTCCACCTCCTTTCCTTAACAACCACCTCCCCAAAGTCAAACACCATATCCCTACCAGTCCTTCCTAAAGGTGCTCTAACTCCTGCAATAACTCCCTAGTACCTCTGGGAGATAAATGCCCTACAAGGCCTTGCAACTCTGTCACGATGGTGTCTCTCTGGCCCTCTGACTGAAGGAAAGGACAATGCTTCCATGGAAGGGGCCTGCAGGCTCTACCTCCCTTTCTTCCAATCCCCGTTCAACTCTTTACTCGCTATGTGACCCTGGGAAAGTTACTAAACCCTCCTGGACCCAGCTTCCTGCCGCTCCCCAAGGGAACCCAGTGCTTCCCACAGAAACGTGTGGGAAGCACTCCTCCCTCCCCCCCAAAAAAAGATCCCTAAAAACTATGCTTTCCTCTCCACAGGCCCACACCCGATTCTGCTGTCCTATCCATCGGGGCTGTTTTCCCTGCACCCCAAATCTGCGTCAGTCAGGCATCACTGCTGGGTCACACACACACACACACACACACACACACACACACACACACCCCTCTGACATTTGAGAACCACTCTGATTAGATCGCAACCGTCCTCCCTGTCCGCCATCACACCCCAACCCCAGTCCCACACACCGGGGCCATGCATCCGACTCCACAGACGTTTCTCACAGACCGAGGATCACCGGTGGACCCCCACATTCACTCGTGCTAGAGTCCCCGGCCGGGGCATCCGGGGGGATCTATCCCCACCTCGACCCGAGGCCGGCGGGCCCGGACCCGGGGCTGACCCCCGGCCCCACCCCGACCCCGGGGTGCCGCTCACCTCGCCTAGGGCCTGCAGGCTCTTCACGGCGCCCACCACCGCCTGGTGCTCCACGCCCAGCTGGGACGCCAGCTCCGCGCTGTCCAGGCCGCCCTCGGCCGCCTCCAGCCGCCGGAGCAGCTGCTCCGCCACCGGACCGTCCGCCATGTCTGCTCCCAGAGCGCACTGCGTGCTCAAGGCCCGGGGGCGGGACTATGGGAGCGGAACCGGAAGCCGCGCCATCTTGTGTGTGGCGGCCCGTCGTGCGTGACTCCGGGGCCGCCATCTTAAGTGTGGGAATGGACGCTCACTAGATGGGATGGGCTCCGGCTGTTCCACCTGCACTGTGGCGAAGTGAGTGGCATCTGGTTGACCGGCGAGGATACACTGATGGCTTGAAGGGGACTGAAGTTCACTTTCTTTTTTCTTTCTTTCTTTTTTTCTTGGTGGGTCGTGAGGCCTGCACTCTGGGCCTGGGCGCTGTCCCTCAGCTCTTCAGCTCAAGGCGAGCGCTCCACCGCTTGAGCCACGGCGCCACTTCGGGTTTGCTGGTGGTTCCTTGGAGAGAAGAGTCTCACGGACTTTCCTGCCCAGGCTGGCTTTGAACCGCGATCCTTAATGTCAGCTGGAACAAAGCCAGCAAGATCTTATTTCAAAAACAGTATGGTGGGGCTGGGAAGGTGGCTCAGTGGTAGAGCGCTTGCCTTGCATGCCTGAGGCCCTGAGTTCGATTCCACAGCACCACATAAGCAAAAAGAAAAAAGCCGGAAGTGGCGCTGTGGCTCAAGTGGTAGAGCGCTAGCCTTGAGCTGAAGAGCTGAGGGACAGTGCCCAGGCCCAGAGTTCAGGCCCATGACCGGACCCCAAAAAAAAAAACAGTATGGGGCCAGCTCCCTCCTTTTTAATCCTTGCTACTCTGGAACATCACCGTTGGAAGCCAAAACCAGGCAGAAAATCTGTGAGACTTTTCTCCAATAAACTATTTAGGAAAATCAGAAGTGGCACTGTGGCTCAAGAGATAGATAGATAGATGGATAGATAGATAGATAGATGGCACAAAGAGGGTCAGGGACAGGACCCAGGCCACAGCACATCATTGCCAGGTTTCTGGTGGTTTATTGGAGGTAAGACTCTCATGGACTTTCCTGCCCAGGCTGGCTTTGAACTGCCTTCCTCAGATCTCAGCCTCCTGAGTAGCTAGGATGACAGGCGTGAGCCACTGCAGCTTGGCCTGTGAATTTATTTTTTAGAACCCAATCCCACACACATGAATTATCTCAAATTTGGAATCTTGACCTTAGATGAATAAGGATTATTTGATGCATTTGAAAACCTAGATTTATTTGGTTCTGGTGGCACCACAATTTTGAGGTATTTATGGATTCTTCCTAGACTCTTCATAGGTTTCTGTTTTGTTTTGTGGTGTGTGTGTGTGTGTGTGTTGGTCGTAGGACTTGAACTCTGGGCCTGGGTGCTGTCCCTCAGCTCTTCAGCTCAAGGCTAGCATTCTACCACTTGAGCCACAGCGCCACTTCCAGATATTTCTGTTTATGTGGTGCTGAGGAATGGAACCCAGGGCCTCATGCATGTGAGTCAAGCATGCTACCATTGAGCCACCTTCCCACCCCTAAACCCTTCATAGGTCTTTGGACCATAGGGTGAACAAACATTCATTTCTGCCCCATAAACGTTTCTTGGGTATCATTCATGATAGAGAATGAGCAACAAACATTAGTACCAGCCAGGCTCAGTACGTTGGCTCACACAGGTTATCCCAGATATGCAAGCGGCTAAGACCTGGAAGAGAGTGGTTGGAAACCAACCAGGGCAGAAGTTCTGAAAGATTCATCTCCAATACACCAACAAAAGCTGGACTGGAGGAATGGTTTGAGTGGTAGAGCATCAGCTGAGCAGCAATAAAGAAATGAGAGGATGACACCCTGGGAAGGGGAGAAAAAGATTGTTGATACAGTCTTTTCTACTTTTTTTTTTTTTGCCAGTCCTGGTGCTTGAACTCAGGACCTGGGTACTGTCCCTGAGCATAACGCCACTTCCAACTTTTTCTGTTTATGTGGAATGGAACCCAGGGCTTCATGCATGCTAGGCAAGCATTGTACCACTATGCCATATTCCCAGCATCATTTTCTTACATTAAATCTTTAAAATCAAATACATGTTTTACACTTGTAGCAAATCTCATTGAGACCAATCACATTTCAAATGACCATTGATTGATCATATGCAGGAAGAGATTATGTTAAAAAACTAGGTAGTTTTAGGCAGTGGTGCTGGGGCTTAAGTGGTAGTAGTTGATCACTTGCCTTGAGTTGAAGAACTCAGGGACAGCACCAGGCCCAGAGTTCAAGCCCTATGACTAATAACAACAATCGAAAAAAAAAAAAAAATAGGTAGTTTTAGCCAGGCATAGGTGGCTCATACCTCAGAAGGCTGAAACTTGAGGATTGTGATTCAGAGTCAACCCAGGCAGAAGTCTGTGAGACTCTTATCTCTAATTTACCACCAGAAAACTGGACATGTTGCTATGGCTCTAAGTAGTAGAACCCTAACCTTGAGCAAAAAGAGTTCAGGCCCCATGAGTGACCAAAAAAAAAAAAAGAAGAAAAGAAAAACAAGTAGTTTTGATTTGAGTCTCACTATGTGGTCAGGTAGACTTTGAACTGTCCATTTTCCAGCCTCAGCAGCCTTAGTGTGCAATACAACTGGTTTGTGTGTGTGTTGGTTCTGGGGTTTGAACTCAGGGCCTGGGCCCTGTCCCTAACCTCTTTTTGCTCAAGGCTAGTCCTCTATCACTTTGAGCAACAGCACCACTCCTGGTTTTCTGACAGTTCATCAGAGACAAGAAAGTCTCAGGGACTTTATACCTGGGCTGACTAGGAACTGCGACCCTCAGATCCCAGTCTCCTGAGTAGCTAGTGACTGACTGCTGCCTTATTCCCCCAGGTCAAACACATCATCAGGTGTGTGCTCACATGCTTGCCCGCAGGCAGGTCATTCTGACCTTGGCTTAGCTGGAGGCTTCTTCACCCCAGGTGAAGCATTCTACCTTGGGCCTGGCCCAGAACAACACCCTTGGTCCCCAAGAGACCACAGCCTTTTTTTTTTTTTTTTTTTTAATTTTGTTTCCTTGTTAAGACACATAAACCCTGCCCAAATCCAGTCCCTTATACAACCTCCAAACCTGTTGGAAGGTCTGTGCTTGTTGATGACCAAATCCTGTCTATTCCTTTTCTGTTCTCTACTTTTCTTTTTTTTTTTTTTGTCGGTCGTGGGGCTTGAACTCTGGGTCTGGGCGCTGTCCCTCAGCTCTTCAGCTCAAGGCGAGTGTTCTACCATTTGAGCTACAACGCCACTTCCGGTTTTCTGGTGGTTTATTGGAGATAGGAGTCTCATGGTCTCTCCTGCCCGGGCTGGCTTTGAACCGCGATCCTCAGATCTCAGCCTCCTGAGTAGCTAGGATTACAGGCGTGAGCCACCAGCGCCCAGCTTGTTCTCTACTTTTCTAACACTAGGATTACAGGCCTGAGCCACCAGGGCCCAGCAACAAAGTGTTTTGGGGTTTTTTTGTTGTTGTTTGTGGGGCTTGAACTCTGGGCCTGGGTGCTGTCCCTCCACTCTTCAGCTCAAGGCAAGCGCTCTACCACTTGAGCCACAGCACCTACTTCAGGTTTTTTCTGTTTATGTGGTGCTGAGGGTCTCATGCATGTGAGACAAACACTCTACCACTGAACCACCTTCCCAACCCCAACAAAGTTTTAAAGCCAGTTCGGTGTCACTCAAGCTGACATAGGACATAGGACAGAGGGAGTGTGACCAGCAGGCCTGGGCTGGTCATTTTGGTCTTGGTTATTTTCCAGAGGGATCCAAGTGGGCAAGACTAAGTAATGGACTTTTGGGGGATGGGGAGCAGAGTCTTTATTTTCCAGCTTTCCCTAATCTGAATTTTTCTGAGAAAGATCCCTTCTCCTCCAGCCTTTTGCCAGCATTACCCCCTTCCCCCATCCCAATTTACTCCAGTGTCCTCAAGTCTAAGCCCCATTTCCTGTTTGGAAAACCCCTAGGTTTCTTTCTTCCTTATAATAAAGGGAGACAAGGAGTGTTGTGAATGTCTTAACCAGTGAAGACTCCCGTTTCAGGGGTCCTGCTTATTTCCTTAGGGCCTTATCTTCATGACCATCTGTAGGCAAATTTCTTATTCCCAAACATAACTCCCAGTCTACTAGGGGTGATGGCGGTTTAATTGCAAAAGTCAGGCCGTTTGTGGGAGACCACAGAACACGGATCCCAACCATTTAGCAGTTGAGGACAGAGCTGAAGCTGAGCTGACAGCCACAGGTAAGAGGAATTACCCTGCCCACCCCTCCACCCTGAGCCAACTACACCCGCAGTCACACCCTCAAGCCAGCACTCCTGCCACTTGAGTTAACACAGCATCACTTCTGGCTGTTTTGTTTGGTTTCGGTTCTTTCTTTCTTTCTTTCTTTTTTGGTGGTTAGCTGGAGACAAAAGTCTTTTCTCCCCAGGGTGGCTTCGAACCGTGATCCTCAGATCCCAGCCTCCTGAGTGTCTAGGATGTACAGCTGGGCCACGGGCGCGCTCAGCAGCACTTCTGATAGACGGCCTCTGGCCAGGGTCGCCCCTCCCGGGGTCTCAGGAGCGCTTGTAACTTCAGAGGCGAAGTGACCAGCCGCGGGGCACAGCGGTACGGCAGCCCGCCGGTCTGGCTTGCTTCGGCTGGGTGACATTGGGGTACAAGGGGAGCCCCAGGATCACGTCCGGGCAGGGCGTTCCCCAAAAGCCGGGAGTCAGGCGGAGGGGATGGAAGGGTACGAGGGGGGGCGGGGGTCCCCGAACGCGGGCGCCTGACTCCAGCGGCCGCTCGCGCGGGTTCTTTAAACGACCAGGTGGGGAGCGGACTCGCGAGGACGCAGGCGGGGTTGGGCTGAGGCCGGGTCACATGACTTCGCCGGAGGGGGCTCGCGGCCCCCTCCACCCCACCAGAGGGCGTCCCCCACAACGCGTGGTCGACCCTCATTGGCCAGTACTGCAACCAATAGAAATCGGCCATCTGGGATCCCAGCGTTCCGAGGCACAACCGAACATGCTGCTCGGCCATCTGTCCAATAAGAAGGGAGGCTTGTGGCTCTGCACCAATGATAAAGACTCAGGGGCGGGCTCTAAGGTCGGTCCAGGTTGGTGTGAGAGGCGGGCAGATATAAAAGCGGGCAGCCGGCGGCAGCGTCCGTCGGTGCTGCAGAGCTGCTGCTGGAGGATCGTTTTAAAGGGCCCGCGCGCCGCCGCCCCCTCGGCCCGCCATGCTGCTACCCGTTCCCCTCCTGCTCGGCCTCTTCGGCCTGGCTATCGCCGAGCCCGCCGTGTACTTCAAGGAGCAGTTTCTGGATGGAGGTAACGCCTGCTTCTGGCCTCGAGGCCATCTCAACGACTCGGCCGGCGCCCCCGCCCCCTCCCCCCCAGCCCGAGCTGCCTTGTCTGTCGCCTGTAATTATCGCTCCGAGGGCCAACACGGGGGCCCTCGGGGACCCGAGCCGCGGGCGATTCCTGTTCCTCCTCCTTGGGGAGCTCGGAGGACGCAGCGGCCTCCCGGGGCGGGAGTAAGGGTTCGCCCGAGGATCTCGAGCCGCTCACAAAATGTCAACCGGGAGACTGGGGAGGGGAGACTTGGGGGGGTTGGTCTCACTTTGTCCCGCCCCGCCCACCCATTCTCCCCCCCCGCCCCCCCCCCCCCCCCCCCGCTCAGCCGCCGCTTTGTAGCTCCTGGTGGATTTGGGGTGAAGGGATCCAACCCCGCTGACCTGCCCGCCTCTCTGAGCCACCCCCATCCCCCCCTCTCCAGATGATTGGACTTCTCGCTGGATCGAATCCAAACACAAATCAGATTTTGGCAAATTCGTCCTCAGTTCCGGCAAGTTCTACGGTGATCAGGAGAAAGATAAAGGTAAGAAGAGTCTGGGATCGGGTGCGGGTATGCAGGAGGACTTCCTGGCTGTAGAGCTGGAGTCAGCATACTTGAGCTGTGAGGTTGGTGGGGGGAACGAAGTGGGCGAGGTCATCTGTGTGTCCCAGGATGGAGGTCGGGGCAGGGGGAGGGGCACTCTCCATGGTAACCTCAGTGCTATCCCAATCTCAGGGCTGCAGACGAGCCAGGATGCCCGATTTTACGCTCTGTCGGCCAGATTCGAGCCTTTCAGCAATAAGGGTCAGACGCTAGTGGTCCAGTTCACCGTAAAGCACGAACAGAACATCGACTGTGGAGGCGGCTATGTGAAGCTGTTTCCCGGTAATCTGGACCAGAAGGACATGCACGGAGACTCTGAGTACAACATAATGTTCGGTGAGTGGCCCCTCAGCTGGAGAGAGAGTAGATTCCTTGTAATCCAGGAAGGTGATCTTTTAGAAAGCCCGTAAGTGATTAGACTTAGACTTTCTGTGGGAGAGCTAAGTAGAGATTTCATGTAATGACAGTTGGGTAGGGGCAGTCATTGGCCTAGGGTATTTTCTGAGTTTACAAACGAGCATGAGATGCTTCAGAGCACTGATATAGTCACTTGCACTTTGGGCCCTACACAGAGCCCTGTTAAGGACAGCTTCAAGGTCCCAACCTCATCTTTTCAGCTTTAATAGACCTGAGTTTAAGAATTGGGTCTTCCGGTCTAGTATGGTAACATACAGCTGTAATTTTACTACATGGGAGTGTGGGAAGGCTGGAGCAGGACGGAGAGCCGGCTGCAAGACCCCTGTCCTGTCTTAAACGTACAAAAAGGAAAATAAGTCAAGTTTTCCTTTCAGAAAGAGGGGCGGGGCTGCCCTGTGTGGGCAGTTCAGTTTGTGACCCTTAAGTGATCTACTTTCCACCCAGGCCCTGACATCTGCGGTCCTGGCACCAAGAAGGTTCATGTCATTTTCAACTACAAGGGCAAGAACGTGCTGATCAACAAGGACATCCGGTGCAAGGTGTGCCTGGGGCTGGCAGTAAAAGGCTGTCCTTCAGGGAAGGCCCCAAGCCAGCCAAGTGGGCGGGGCTCAACTCCCTCCTTCCCTCCCTCTTCAGGATGATGAATTCACTCACCTGTACACGCTGATCGTCCGGCCTGACAACACCTACGAGGTGAAGATCGACAACAGCCAGGTGGAGTCAGGGTCCCTGGAGGATGATTGGGACTTCCTTCCCCCCAAGAAGATCAAGGACCCTGATGCTTCCAAGCCAGAAGACTGGGACGAGCGGGCCAAGATCGATGACCCCACAGACTCCAAGCCTGAGGTTGGTGCCTGGGCAGCGCTTCTCTCCCGCCATCTCGCAGAGTGGAGGACAGCAAGGCCCCCCCTCTGACCTTCTGGTGTACCCCTAGGACTGGGACAAGCCTGAGCACATCCCTGACCCCGATGCTAAGAAGCCTGAGGACTGGGATGAGGAGATGGATGGAGAGTGGGAACCCCCAGTCATTCAGAACCCTGAGTACAAGGTGAGTGAGCGCCTGCTAAGAGCATGCATGGCCCTGGGTTGGGACTGCGCAAAGCAAGCCAGGGCTTAGGGCTCTGCTCAGGAGTGTACCCATCTCTGCGCTCACCTCTGGTTCCCTTCTGTAGGGCGAGTGGAAGCCACGGCAGATTGATAACCCTGATTACAAGGGCACGTGGATTCACCCAGAGATCGACAACCCTGAGTACTCTCCTGATGCCAACATCTATGCTTATGATAACTTTGCAGTGCTGGGCCTGGACCTCTGGCAGGTGAGACAAGCATCCCCCAGAGTGTCAGTCACCTGGGAGGCTGGAGGAAGGGACAGGCCTGGGCGTTGAACCCAAGCAGGTCTCTCGCCAAGGTGTCCAAGGTGGTGTGTGTGTGTGTGTGTGTGTGTGTAACTTGCACTGTTTCTTAGTTTTTTGTTTTTTTTTCCTGCCAGTCCTGGGCGTCGACTCCAGGCCTAGGCACTCACTGTCCCTGATCTCCTTTTGCTACAGCTCCACTTCCAGCTTTTTCTGTGATTAATTGGAGATGAATCTCAGACTTTTCTGTACAGGCTGGCTTCAGACAGATCCCCAGATCTGTTTCCTGAGGAGCTAAGTCACTATGTTCTGTTTTTATTTTTGTTTTGTTTTGTTTTTTATCGTCAGTTGTGGGGCTTCAACTCTGGGCCTGGGCACTGTCCCTGCGCTCTTCAGCACAAGATAAGAGTCTCACGGACATTCCTGCCCAGTCTGGCTTTGAACCGAGATCCTCAGATCTCAGCCTCCTGAGTAGCTGGGATGACAGGCGTGAGCCACCAGCGCTTTTGTGCCCCCTCCCCCCTGAAAATTTGGAATTGAAATCAGGTCCTTGGGTTTGGTACATGTTTTCTTTTTAAGAAATTTTTTTGTTGGTCATGGGCCTGAACCCTGGGCCTGGGCGCTGTCCCTCAGCTCTTCAGCTCAAGGCAAGTGCTCTACCACTTGAGCCACAGCACCACTTCCTGGTACATATTTTCTTCTCAAGTATTTCTTAGTTTTTCTCTATTCATTTAACCTCCCTCCCTTGAGGTTCTCAAAGTACTTTATGCAAATTAGTTCATCAAGCTATTGCCAGTTAGCAGGAACTGGGTTTCTAACAGGCATATTAGGTGCCTAAAAAAGATCTGCGCAATGGGGTGAATCCCCGCTTCACAGATGAAGGAGCCTTGTGCAGAAAAGTGAAGTTGGGAGCCCAAGGTCACGCAGGTAGGAAATGGCAGAGCTGGGGTTTGAACCCCAGGAGTGCAGCCCATCTCGTCCTTTGAACATCATATCAGCCCTGTTTATACCCTTATTTTTCCTGAACAGGCAGGCATGTCTTGCTAGATAGCTGAAAGCAGGTCAAAACTCTGGATTCCCTGCTTTATAGCCTCCTGAGGCAGCTGAGATTATAACTGTGCCACCATCCCCAGCATCTTTTTTTTTTTTGGTTGGTCGTGGGACTTGAACTCTGGGCCTGGGTGCTGTCCCTGAGCTCTTTAGCTTAAGGCTAGTGCTGTACCACTTGAGCCACAGCACCACTTCTGGTTTTCTGGTGGTTAATTGGAGATGAGTCTTATACACTTCCCTGCTTTGAACCATGATCCTCGGATCTCAGCCTCCTGAATAGCTAGGGTGACAAATATGAGCCACTGGTACCTGGCTGCCAGCATTTTTTTTTTTTTGACAGTCCTGGGCTTGATCTCAGGGCCTGGGCACCGTCGATGAGCTTCTTTTGCTCAGGGCTTAGGGCTAGCCCTCTACTACTTGAGCCATAGTGCCACTTGCAGTTTTTTCTGTGTATGTGGTAGTGAGGAATGGAAGCCAGGGCTTCATGCATGCTAGGCAAGCACTCTACCACTGAGCCACATACTCAGCACCTTGCAGATGCAGCCATTGTAGCAGACAGAAACACAAGCAGGCAGGTGGAGCCCTGTCCAGATCATCTCACCTCCTCTTCTGTTCACCTTCCCCAGGTCAAGTCTGGCACCATCTTTGACAACTTCCTCATCACCAATGATGAGGCATACGCAGAGGAGTTCGGCAATGAGACGTGGGGCGTCACAAAGGTGGGGCTTGTGCCCCCTTGGGGTTGGGGATGGGGCGGGACTGGCAGGCCGGGGGCCCTGGTGCTGAAGGGAGCCAATCTGTTCCCAGGCAGCAGAAAAGCAGATGAAGGACAAACAGGACGAGGAGCAGAGGCTAAAGGAAGAGGAGGAAGACAAGAAGCGCAAGGAGGAGGAAGAAGCGGAGGGCAAGGAGGACGAAGACGACAAAGATGAGGAGGAAGAGGAGGAGGAGGACAAGGAGGAAGAGGAGGAGGAAGAAGCTGCTGGCCAGGCTAAGGACGAGCTGTAGAGGCCAGGCCACCCGCCTCCAGGGCTGGACTGAGGCCTGAGCGCTCCTGCCGCAGAGCCGGCGCGCCAAATAATGTCTCTATGAGACTACAGAACTTTCTTTTTTCCTAGGCGGGTTCAGATTGGGGGTGGATTTTGGTTTTGTTTCCCCCGCCTAATTTTTTTCTTTTCCTTTTTTTTTTTTTTTTTTACTGGTGTTTTGTCTTCAATTCTACAGTCCTCACCCCTGGCTCTGGTCACTGTTGATTGACATGTCCCTTCTGGTCCCCTTAGTTATTCCCCTCCAACCCCAGGAACAAAAGTGTGGAGGAGAAGCCACAGGCTTGAGATTCCATCTGCTCTCCTTACAGCCCAGAGGTGGGGGGGGGGGGGGGGGAGGAGAAAGGGGTGGCGTGTCCGGACCCCCAGCACTGAGGAGGAATGGGGCCTCTTCCCATCCCCTCCTTTCCTGCCCTGCCCCCAGGACTGGGCCACTTGTGGGTGGGGTAACAGGTTCCAACTTGGCTCACACTGAGATTGTAAGAACTACAAACAAAATTTCTATTAAATTAAGTTTTGTGTCTTCCTCCTTTTGAGTCTCCTTCTGCGAGGAGGATGGACAACAGGCAACTAAAGGTAGCAATTTTAGGGGGGCAGCTTTTTCTGCTGCTAGAGAAATGGCTGAGGCCAGATGCTGGCGCTTCACACCTGTAATCCCAGCTGCAGGGGAAGTGGAAATCAGGAGGATCATGGTAATCTACCAGCCTTCCAAGTGGACAAAGCTAAGCGTGGTGACACACCTGTCATCCCAGCTTATGGTTCACACCTAAAGTGCATTTCCACTCCCTATATCAAAAACAACCAGGGCTGAAAGGGCTCAGTAATGCAAAGCACCTGCTTAGCAAGCACAAGGCCCTTGGTTAAAACTCCAGTACAGCAAAAAAGAAAGTGGCCAAGTGTTCCCCAAGATGACAAGCCAGCCCAGTGGAAGAAATCCTGTTACAACCTCTACTCTTGCTCCCTATTTGAATTTACCTATCCTTGGTACCAGACTGGTGCATTTTGGTAATACCGCCAATTGGGTAGGGAACTTAGAATCAGGTGATGGGGTGTGTGGATCCAAGGGCTAGAGTTGGGATATGGCTCAGTGAAAAGAAAGACTTGTGCCTGGACCCATGTGACTCAGGTCATGTGTTGAGGATACTCAGGCTGAGGAGCCTGGTCCAGAGCCAGCCTGGGCAGAAATGTCCTAAGACTTGGCACTAATTAACCACCTAGAAAGTGGAAGCAGACTCAAGTGGTAGAGTGGCTAGCCTTTAGTCAAAAAGCTCAAGGGCAGTGCCCAGGCCTTGAGAGTTCAATCCCCACTCTTGATACTGTAAATAAGGAGTGCGAATAGAGGTGGAAGGCACTTCTGGGGTTCATGAATCTCTTTGGGGTAGCAGGAGGGGTGGGCAGGAGCTTCTGACTGAGTTGGTAAAGCCGTGAGCCAACCTTAGCACCCTTCTATGCTCTGGGTGTGAAGGGAGGACAGACAGGAGCTGGGCACACGGACAGGTGACTGGTGTCTGCTGGGACACCGGTCATGGTCACTTCAGACTTGGGATGTTGCACCCCACGTTATCTACTAACTGGAATGCAACCAATTCAAGTGGCAACCCACCCTTCCAGGTCCCCCTGCCCTTGGTCTGGCCTCTTGTACTTCATTCTCCCTAGTATGTGTTTGGCTGGGGATGGGGGATATGCATTAAGAGAAAAGGAATTCCAAATTCAATAAAGAGGGCTGGGAAGGTGGCTCAGTGGTAGAGCGCTTGCCTTGCATACCTGAGGCCCTGGGTTCAATTCCTCAGCACCACATAAGCAAAAAGGAAAAAGCTGGAAGTGGCGCTGTGGCTCAAGTGGTAGAGCGCTCGCCTTGAGCTGAAGAGCTGAGGGACAGCGCCCAGGCCCAGAGCTCAGGTCCCACGACCAGACCCAAACAAACCAACCAAATTCAATATAGAGTCCTGCAAAGTTATCATCTTCATACTTTGGGGGTATAGTTTGGGGATAATGGGATTACTGTAGCAGTTGGAAGGGAGCAAGTTGGGTGCTGATGGCTTAATGTTATTCAAAGAGTTAGGTCTTAGGATCAGTGTTTGAGGCCAGCCTGGGCAGGAAAGTTCGTGAAACTAACCACCAGAAAACTTGAAGTGGAGCTGTGGCTCAAGTGGTAATGAGTACAAACCTTGAGAAAAATTTGAGAATGGGAGGCCCTGAGTTAGAGGGTTCGAGCCCCACCACAAGTACTGCACCCCCCACCCCAAGTGAAGAGGGATGGGGGTCACAAAATGTGTCACTCCCAAATTGAAACGATCTCTATTGCTTGACTGTTAGGGATCCGTCTGATTAGCCTGTAGTTTCAGGGTTCCTAAAGGTTTTTAGGAGGAAGTACAAGTATCTGGAGCAAGAACATGGAAAGGTAACGTCATAAAGAAAACCTGGATGTAAAAGTGGCGACGCAGGAGCCATTTTGCGGTCAAATGACGTCACCGCTAATAAGCATGGCGTCACTCTCACGAGGCCACGTGACTACTGCCTGCCTCCCTCAAGGCGGAGCTTGATCTGCGCATGCTTAGTCCCAACGAGGGCTTGTGCGCATGCTCACAAGGCGCCGGGGTGCGCGCGCAGCTTACCCGGAAGAGCTTGGCGCTTGGCGCGGCCGAGCGCTAAGATGGCGGCGGCGTGAGTTGCATGTTGTGTGAGGATCCCGGGGCCGCCTCGTTGCTCGGGCCCCGTCATGGCCGTCACCATCACGCTCAAAACACTGCAGCAGCAGACCTTCAAGATCCGCATGGAGCCTGATGAGACGGTGCGGGCCGGGCCGGAGCCCCGGGCGTGGGGGCGGCGCGAGTGACGGGTGCCGGGGAGGCCGGGATCCCAACGGGAGCGGCGCGGAGGAGGCCGCGGGCAGGGCCGCCCGCCCCCCGCCGCCCGCCGCCCGCCCCCCGCCGTGCCCGGAGCCCCCGATCGTCGCTGGCTCGGCCCCGACGGCTCCGGGCCGCGCCGGCAGGTGTCAGGGAGGCCCCGCCCCCGGGCGCCCGGCTCGGGTGTCCGCGCCCTCGCGGGGCGCGGGCGCCGCAGGCTCGGGGTCCCGGCTGGGCTCCGCGCTGCCAGCGCGGCGGGCGGCTCCGCAGGTCCTCGGGGGCCGAATCTGACCGCGAGGACTTAAAAGAGATGCGGACCGGGGAGGGGGGACAAGGCGGCGATGAGCATGGTAACCAGGGCTCTCAATCTGACTAGCTTTGGTGGTCCGTGTTTGGCCCGTGTGTTCTTTCCCAGTCAGTGAGCACTGCCATGTCATCTTGCTAAGTCTGCAAAAACAAAAAAGCCAGGCTTGTCATTTGAGGACCCTTCCTTTTATAGATGTGGGGGCCTAAGTGTTAAACTTTGCCACGGTCACAGCAAGTGGGCAGAGATGGCGTTCCAATTCGTTGTGCTTTCCTCTGACAGCCCCAGGGTTTTCACGTGTGTGTGTGTGTCCGTGTCCCAGGGCTTGAACTCAGGGTCTGGGCACTGCCCCCTGAGCTGAGCTTCTTGTGCTCAAGGCTAGCACTCTACCACTTGAGCCACGGTGCCACTTCCGGCGTTTTGGTAGTTAATTGGAGATAAGAGTTCCACGGAGTTTTCCACTGAGGCTGGTTTCAAACCAAGACCCTCAGATCTCGGCCTCCAGAGTAGGATTTCAAGTGTGAGCTGCAGGCCTGGCTTTTGTTTTGTTTTTGAGACCGTTTCTGTAGGTAGCCCAGGCTGAGATCTGTGGATTTGGACAAGTGGCTTAATTTACAATATGAGGCCACTGGGACCCATTTGATACAATTACAATGTGTGAAAATATGATACATGCACCCTTACAATCTGTAGTAACTTCCCAGTAAATAGAGGTCACTGTTATTATCTGAGGTCAGCTGAGTGGAGAACAATAGGGAGAAATAATGTTTCATTTCTCAATATATTTCCTGTCATCTGAAATACATAGTTGCTTTTTTCCTCCCAATGTTGCCTACTCCATGACAGCAGTGAGTTTTAGGGCCCATGTGGGTGAATTCAGGGCCTCAGTGTCATCCCTTAGTTTTTGCATCCTACTATAGGAGTCACAGCTCTACTTCTGGCTTTTTGATGGTTCTTTGGAGATAGAATCTAAGGGATTTTCTTGCCTGGGCTGGCTTCGAACTGCCATCTTTACATCTCAGCTTCCTGAGTAGCTAAGATTACTGGCATGAGCACCCAGCTGTTGGGTTTTGTGCAATGCTTTGGCCTCTGTACAGGAACTTGAATGAGCTGAGGTTGCAGCTCATTGGTAGAGTGCTTGCCACTCAGGCCTGGTGGCCCTGGGTTCTATGCCCAGTGCTCAAGACAAAGGACAACATAAAACGACCTCACAAAGTCAGAAAAGGCTTATTAGTCAATGCTCTGTCATGAGTACGCCTGACTACAAAGCTCAGCCTCTGTCCTGGGGACTGGCAGCTGGGCTCCCTAGAGCAGAAGTGGGAGAGAAGGGTCAGGGCTTGCTATGAACCTCTCTGCTTGTCTCTCCAGGTAAAGGTCCTGAAGGAGAAGATAGAGGCTGAGAAGGGCCGTGATGCTTTCCCAGTGGCTGGACAGAAGCTCATCTATGCCGGCAAGATCCTGAGCGACGATGTTCCCATTAGGGACTACAGAATCGATGAGAAGAACTTTGTGGTCGTCATGGTGACCAAGGTGGGTGGATGGCCTAGAAGGTGGGGGGGGTGCTGGCAGAGAGCGCGAGTGCCCAGGAGAGATTAGCCATGGGCAGGGCGGGGTGGCCATGCGGCGGGATATGGGGGCTTGATAGAGCCTTTGCTGACGCCTGTTCCCTTGCTGTCACAGGCCAAAGCTGGCCAGGGTACCTCAGCACCCCCAGAGGTCTCACCCACTGCCGCCCTTCCGGAGTCCTCCACACCCTTCCCGACGGTCCCTGCCTCAGGCATGTCCCAACCCCCACCCACCAGCAGAGAGGAGCAGAGCCCGTCGGAGGAGTCGGCCACCACGACATCGCCAGAGTCTCTGTCAGGGTAAGGCAGGGGCAGTACCCCCCACCTTGGGCCCTCTCTCCCTCCACCCCCCCACAAGGGCACCTCCAAAGCGCCTCCTGCACCTGGGGGGAGGGACGAGCCGCCAGAAGCCAGGGTCCGATTTCTCTCTCTTGAATTTGCAGCTCTGTTCCCTCTTCAGGTAGCAGCGGGCGAGAGGAAGACGCGGCGTCCACGCTAGGTGGGTGGGTGGTCCCCAGGGCAGAGGTGACTGGGTGCCCACAGCCATCAGCTGGGGTGGGCCCCGGGAGCTGCTCGGCGCCCATCCCTGGTGACCCAGGCTCCGCTGCTCCCTCCACAGTGACGGGCTCTGAGTATGAGGCGATGCTGGCGGAGATCGTGGCCATGGGCTACGAGCGTGAGCGGGTGGTGGCCGCCCTGAGAGCCAGCTACAACAACCCGCACCGGGCTGTGGAGTATCTGCTCACGGTGAGGGCCTCACCGGGGAGGCGCAGCCTGTGGCAAGGGCCCCTGGGGAGCGGCTGGGTAGGGCTTCCCCCAGGAAGCCGCTGGGAGGGGCGGCGGGTGGGCTTTGAGGGAGGGTGCCTGGGGCCTCCCAGTCTCCTGCCAGGGCAGGCCACCCTGGAGGAGGCCTGGGTACGAATATTAGACCACACCCCTGACAGGGAATTCCGGGGAGCCCCGAGCCTGAACATAGTGCGGTCCAGGAGAGCCAGGTGCCCGAGCCATCAGCCACAGAAGCAGGTGAGCCATGGGAGGGAGGGCATAGGGCATCTGGTGTCTGTGTTCTCAGACCCTGGAAGTCCTGCATGGTGTCTGACCACACGCGTGCTCCCTCCCGCCAGCTGGGGAGAACCCCCTGGAGTTCCTGCGGGACCAGCCCCAGTTCCAGAACATGCGGCAGGTGATCCAGCAGGACCCAGCGCTGCTGCCCGCCCTGCTCCAGCAGCTGGGCCAGGACAACCCTCAGCTGCTGCAGGTGGGGCCCAGGGCAGAGGGGGCGCTCAAGTGCCGGTTCCCCTTTCCCAAGGATGCCTGGATCGGGGTGTCGGGTGGGTGGCTCTCCTGGGATTCTCCCCACACACACACATACACCTCTGCTCCCTGTGGAGATGTGCTGTCTGGACCACCAGGGAGGCGTGGGGAATTTGATCACAGAATCTTGGAGCTGGGTGTGGGCGTCCTGGGCTCTGCCTCTCACCTGGGTGCCCTAGCAGCCTCCTCTGGGCCCAGCTGCCCACCTCTCACGGCACCATGGGTGCCTTCACAGGCAGGTGCTGCTCTCCGCTTTCACTTGTACTCCCCCCCCCCCCCCCCCCCCCCCCCCCCCCCCCCGTCACCACCCTCACGGGACAGTCTGCAATCCCGGACCTTGGCGAACACCTGCCATTGTCTGAGCGGGTCTCTGGCTAACTTAATGTCTTAAAAAGTTCTGTTTTTGTTTGCTTGTTTGTTTGGCCAGTCCTGGGGCTTGAACTCAGCACCTGGGCGCTGTCTCTGAACTTCTTTTGCTCAAAGCTAGCACTCTACTGCGTGAGCCCCAGCGTCACTTTGAGCTTTTCTGTGTATGTGGTACTGAGGAATCGAACCCAGGGCTTCATGCCTGCTAGGCAAGCGCTCTACCACTAAGCCACCTTCCCATTCCTTAAATATGTTTTTTTGGTTTGTCTTTCAGCTGGTCCTGGGGCTTGAAGTTGGCCTGGGTGCTGTCTGTGAGCTTCCTTTTTGCTCAAGTCTGGTGTTTTACCACTCTGCCATTGCCCCACTTCCAGCTTTTTGTTGGTGTATTGGAGTTTCACAGTCTTTCCTGCCCAAGCTGGTTTTGAATCATGATCTTCAAATCTCAGCTTCCTGAGTAGTTAGGATTATAGACATGAGCCACTGGTGCACCTGGCCTAGTAAAATTATTTTTCTTCTTCTCCCTGGTCATGGGGCCTGCACTCAGGGCCTGGGTGCTATCCCTGAGTCCTTATGCTCAAGGCTAGTGCTCTACCACTTTGAGCCACGGAGCCACTTCCGGTTTTCTGGTATTTCATTGGAGGTAAGAGTCTCATGGACTTTCCTTCCCAGGCTGGCTTCGAACTGTGATCCTCAAGTCTGAGCCTTCTGGGTAGCTAGGATGACAGGCTCGCGCTGCCATAGTGAAGTTTTTTCCCTAAGCTTTTGAGACTCCACAACAGCCTTCTTCCAGACCCCTCCCCTCTCCATCCCAGTTGCTTGAACCATGGCCTGCTGGGACTACACGGGACCATTTCCACTTCGCTTCGGCTCCGCCCAGCTCCTCCTCTGGCCCAGTTCCCCTGCCCACGGCCCACAGCCCGACTGGAGAGAAAACACTTTTCTTCCACATGAATGTGGTCAGGAGTTGACAGAAACACAGCTGCTTCAGAACCTCCAGGGTCCCAACACGCTGCCGTGTGACCTTACAACAGACTCTAGGCCAGGCATGGGGCGCACACCTGGAGTCCTAGCACTTGAGAAGCTGAGGTGGAGGTTGGTGGGTAACAGGCCAGCCTGGGTTGAGAGTGAGACCTCATCAAAAACAAGAAAAAAGCTGAGTACCAGTGGCTCACACCTGTCATCCTAGCTACTCAGGAGGCTGAGATCTAAGGATTGTGGTTCAAAGCCAGCCCAGGGAAGGAAAGTCTGTGAGACTCTTATCTCCAATGAATCACCGGAAAACCAGAAGTGTGGCGTGGTTCAAAATGGTAGAGCGCTCACCTTGATGATTATTATATATTTTTTTTTTATCAGTCGTGGGAGCTGAACTCTGGGCCTGGGTGCTGTCCCTCAGCTCTTCAGTTCAAGGTGATTGCACTACCACTTGAGCCACAGTGCCACTTCTGGCTTTTTCTGCTTATTTTGTGCTGAGGAATCGAACCCAGGGCCTCATTCGTGTGAGGCAAGCGCTCTACCACTGAGCCACCTTCCCTTGCCTTGATTAGAAAAGCTCAGGGACGGTGTCTAGGCCCTGAGTAAGTCCCATGACAGACAAAAATAAAATAATAAAAATAGGTACACTGGGCTGAGGTGCAGCTCTGGTGGTAAAGCCAGCATGAGGCTTTGGGTTCCCAGGTGCCCCATCCAGTCCCATCTTTTCAAGTTTTAACTGTCACCATCTCCACCTTGGTTTTTTTCTTTTTGTCTGTCATAGGGCTTGAACTCGGCCTGGGCATTGTCCCTAAGCTTTTCTGCTCAAGACTAGAGCTCTACCACTTTGAGCCACAGCTCCACTTCCTATTTTCTGGTGCTTAGTTGGAGATAAGAGTCTCATCGTCTTTTCCTACTCAGGCTGGCATTGAGCCATCATCCTCAGATCTCAGCCTGTTGAGTAGCTAGGATTATAGGCATGAACCAGCAGTGCCTGGCTTTTTTTTTTCTCTTGGGTGCCTGGGGCTTGAACTCAGCGCCTAGGTGCTGTCTCTCATCTTTTTTACTCAAGGCTAATACTATGCCACTTGGGCCACAGCTCCAGTTCTAGCTCTTTTGGTGGTTAATTGGAGATAAGAGAGTTTCAAGGACTTTCCTGCCCAGGCTGGCTTTGAACCTCAGATCTTAGCTTCCTGAGTAACTAGGATTATGGGATTGGTGCCCAGTTTACCACCATGACTTTCTGTCGCACTGGAAGAAGTCCTGACCCTTACCTGGACTTCATCCCCCCTTCCCTTTCTTTGTGTGTGCCGTTCTTGCCATCTGAATCTTCTTCCATTTCTCGTTTGTCCACCCCTGGGCCTTTGCAATTGCTGCTTGTTCCACTTGGTAGAAATCCTCCCTCTTTTCTGCTTGTTGGAGCCAGCAGCCCCTCCCAACTAGGTCCTCAGTGCCTTCCTGCCCACACCTGCTGTTGAGTGGTCCGTGGATTTGCCCACAGCCTCTCTGTCCTTGGCGCAGGAGCTGGAGCTGTTTCCATGGCTACAGTGCTGTTTAGCTGGATTTTGTTTTTGTGCTAGTATTGGGGCTTGAACTCAGGGCCTGAGCACTGCCCCTTAGCTTTTTTTCCCTCAAGGCTGGCAAGCTACCACTTGAGCCAGTTTTGCTTCTGCCTTTTTGCTGGCTAGAGAGAAGAATCTCAGCTGGTAAAGCACTAGCCAATGAGCGAAAGTGTCAGGTACTGAGTTCTAGTCCTGGTCTCAGACCAAAAATAAGAAGTCTCAGCATCTTTCTTGCCCTGGCTGGTTTCACACCTCGATCCTCAGATCTCAGCTTCCTGAGAGGCGGCTGAGTCGCTGGGATGACAGGTGTGGCTCACTGGAATAGCATCTTCTGGGGGTTACCTGATGGGTATAAAAGCAAGGGCTGGGGTGGGGACTCCCGGAGAGGAATCAGGAGCTGAGGACCACTTCCCCCCCCCCCCCCCCACAGCAAATCAGCCGGCACCAGGAGCAGTTCATCCAGATGTTGAACGAACCCCCTGGGGAGCTGGCGGACATCTCAGACGTGGAGGGGGAGGTGGGCGCCATTGGGGAGGAGGCCCCCCAGATGAACTACATCCAGGTGACACCCCAGGAAAAGGAAGCTATCGAGAGGGTAAGAGGCCTGGCTGGGGTGACCCTACTATGGGGCAGCCCCTCCCAACCCCCCCTTCCTGCTCACCCCTGCCCATCTTCCCACAGTTGAAGGCCCTGGGCTTCCCAGAGAGCCTTGTGATCCAGGCCTACTTCGCATGTGAGAAAAACGAGAACCTGGCTGCCAACTTCCTCCTGAGTCAGAACTTTGATGACGAGTGACGCTGGGAGGCCAGGCCGCCCCCCCCCCCCCCCCCCCCCCGCGCCACAGAAAGTTTTATAAAAGAAAAGAATATATCTATATATATATTCATGTTTATTTAAGAAGTGGGAGAAAAAAATCAAAAACTTAAAAAAAAAAAACTAAAAAAGACAAAAAGCCAGCCCAGGTTCCCACCCTCCTAGAGGGCACCCCCTCCCCCCAATCTGAGAGGACCTGGGCCAGACAGCTGTCCCCCAGCCCCCCCCCCCCCCAGCCCAGCCTGCTCTAAGCTGCTGGCAGGGCCAGGAGGCGACAGATGGACCCGTCTTGGCCTCTGTCCCAGCTCTGTAGCCAGATGGAGAGGCGGCTGCTCGCTTCCCCATCTCCCCCCACGCTCCCCCACAAAGTACCCCTGCCCCGCCCTCTGCAGAATGAGGGGAAGCTGGAACCCCGAACTTTGCTCCTCCACTTGGAGTAGCTCAAGTCTTTCCATCTGGGGGGAGCCCCAAGAGGCCCCAGGCCCCACCCTCCCGGCCTTGGCCTCCAGCCTGGGAATGAAGGAACATCAGCTCTGGAGGCCAAGGCCAGCTCCACCCTGGAACAGAACCGCGTCTCTGATGAAGGTTTTGAAGTGAATAAAAGTTTTAAAAAACCAGCCCTCACAATGGTTCGTGCCTGCCGGGGGTTGGCGATGCCAGCTTGCCCAGAGCCGAGGCTGGCTGGCACGCGTGACTTGGGAAGGTGGGGAAGGGGAGAGGGCTGCGAGGCCCTGCAGATGGGGGGCTCCAGCCTGGCCTCGAGGGTTGCTGCTCCCCCCCCACAGTCTGCTTTGGCTACACTTCCCCCCTGGTAATTGGCTAATTACTGGAGATTAATGTTGGTAAACAGAAGCCTTCGGCACTGCCATCTGCTCCCCCATTATTTGCCTAGCCAGCCCGTGCTCTCCCTCTGAAGCTCCAGCTCTCTGTGGGGACTCCCGTCCCCCGGGTGCTGGGGAAGGAACAGAAGCCACAGAGCCCTTTGCTGGGGGCGGGGATGGGGACAGGCCTTTATTGAGAAAGCACAGGTCAGGAGCTGGGTGTCCCAGAGGCTGCTGGGTCCTGGGCTGCAACGGTAGCCAAAGCGGCAGCCCGCGCCTCCTGCTTCTGCTTCTGCTTCTGCTCCTTCAGGCGCTTGCGCTCCTGCTTCTCTAGGTCCTGCAGCAGCTCCTGGAAGCGGGCGCTCCTCGGGTCCACGTGATAGCCCAGGCGCTCCTGGGCCTCGGCCTGCAGCCGGGCCTTCCTCTCCTTGTCGGCCTGGGCCTTCTCCCAGCGCTCCCGCTTCTGCCGTCGCCAGTCCTCAATCAGCCGCGGCATCTGGGCCATGCACTCTGCGATGCGCTGCTCCCTGCGGGAGAGGAGGGTGGGGGTGAGGGCAGACGGACCCCATCTCCCCACGGCCTCCTCCACAGCCTGCCTCTCCCACAAGGTAGGCCAAGCCCCAATGACTCCCAGGGGCCACAGCCTTCCTTCCACCTGCCATTCATTCTAGACTTCTCTGAGCACCTGCTGTATGCTCCACTCACTGGGCACCGGTATGTCCTGAACATTTCACAGAGCACTGACGGTGTGCCAAGGACTTCTCTGAGCACTAACTGTATGCCTTAGGGTTCTCCAGAGCATGTACTGCTATGTCCCACAGACTTTTTTTTTTTTTTTGCCAGTCAGACCTGGGGCTTGAACTCAGGCCCTGGGCACTGTCCTTGAGCTTTTTGCTCAAGTCTCTACCACTTGAGCCACAGTGCCACTTCCAGCTTTTCTGTTTATGTGACACGGAGGAACCCAGGGCTTCACGCGTGTTAAGCAAGCACTCTACCACTAAGCCACGGTCCCAGACCACCCCCAGACTTCTTTGAACACGCAGTGTATACCAGCCCAAATCTAGGCACAGGAGTGAAGGCAAGAAACAGACTGACTCTCTCTCCCTCCAGCTTCGTGGGTCTGTAGCTGCCTTGCAGCTCCATTTTAAGGATTAGGAACTTGACACTGGAGGAAGCATGCACCCAGGGCCACGGCTTCAGCTCAGGATGAGCAAATAGGGGAGACCCACTCTTTTTTTCTTTGCTAACAGGACTCAGATCCAGGACACCTGACTCCACTTTCCCAGGTCTGCTGTTTCCTTAACTCTAAAATGCACTTGGTCTCCCAAGGCTGCAGGGAGACAGGGAAAGTAAACTTCCCAGCAACAAAGAACCTGGCCCTTCCCCCAAGGAAGTGCTGTAGGCCACATGACCATGAAAATGTCTCCATTTTCCCCTTAGATTGAATCTCTGACGCCTGCTCTGGATCCCCGACTTCCCCCACCACCCCACTACCCACACTTCCCATCTCCTCCATCCCACAACAGCCTCCTGGATGTGCCTTAAGGAATGATTCTACCTCAGGACCTTTGCACCCACTGCTCCCTATAGTGGAAGTACCCCTAATAATGCTGAGATATCCAGGGCTTGGCTAGAACATCACCTGCTCAGAGAAGGCATAGAGTTCCTGAACCTCAAAATCCTGACATGCACGCCTCACCCATCCAGTGGCTGTCTGAAACTTGTCTGTTTTGTGAGCCAGTGGCTCATACCTTCCTTTGATCCTAGCTACACAGGAGGCTGAGATCTGAGGATCATGGTTAGAAACCAGACTAGGTAGGTAACTTTGTTTATAACGTTGTTTATAACGTTTTTTTTGCCAGGCCCAGGGCTTGAACTCTTGAGCTTTTTCCTCAAGGCTAGCACCACTTGAACCACAGCGCCGCTTCTGGCTTTTTCTGTGTATGTGGTACTGAGGCACTGAACCCAGGGCCTCATGCATGCTAGGCAAACACTACCACTGAGCCGCCTTCCCAGCCCTCGTGAGGCTCTTTTTATCTCCAATAAACTACCAAAATGCTAGAAATGGAGCTGTGGCTCAAGCGGTCAGTGTCAGCCTTGAGCAAGAAAGCTCAGGGACAGTTCCTAGGCCCCGAGTTCAAGCCCCAGGACTGGCGCACGCCCGCGCACGCGCACACACACACACACACACACACACACACACACACACACAGTCTTGGGACAGCTCCTAGGCCCCGCGCACACGCACGCACACAGTCTCGTTCCCTGCCGCACCCTCAGCGCCCCGGCCGTGCACAGAGAACAACTGGCAGACGCGGGCCCCCGCGCAGGCGCATGCGCAGGCCCCCGCGCAGGCGCGCACGCACCTGGCCCGCCGCTGCTGCTCCTGGGCCAGCCGCCGCGCCCGTAGAGACTCCTGCATGGTCGCCAGGCTCGGCTGCCACTCCCGCTCCTCGGCCTCCAGCTCGTCCAGCTGCTCCGGCGACGGCCACAGCGAGCCGGGGGCCACCCCGGAGGCGGCGCCGTGCCGCGCGAACTGCTTGGCTGCGTAGCGCGGCCCCAGCTGCCACTTCGGGGTCAGGGGGTCCTCCGGGTCGGGCCACCAGGGCCCGGGCGAGCGGCGCGGGGGCGGGGGCGCGCGGTAGCCGCGGGAGCCGCGGCCCCAGGCCGCCGCCAGCCCGAGCAGGCCGCGCGCGGGCCGCACGGGCGCCGCCATCTTGGCCCTGCGGGGTCCTCGCGGGCGGCCGGCTGCCCACGGCGCTGCCTGCGCCCACGCCCGGCCGCCGGGGCCCGGCAGCGCGAGGGGCAGCCCGCGCCGCGGCTCCGGCCAAGGGGGCTTTTGGATGTAGTCGGTGTCTTGGACGGCGTCCACGCTTTACTTCGTTGGCGATGGTGCCAGTCGTCGTGTGTCCCTTTTGTGTGGGCCTGTCCCGGGGCTCGATCTCAGGCCTGGGCGCTGGCTCTGAGCGCTCTGCCCCTTGGGCCGCAGCGCCACTTCGGGTCCGACCCTGCTCAGTTCATTACAGTGAGGCGGGAAAACGGCAGCCGGGAGCTGGCGGCTCGCGCCTGCACTGGCGCACACACCGACCGCAAGACGCTAAAATCAAAGTCACTGTCTCAGTTCAGCGTTGGTTAACGTGCGTGAAGCCCAGGGCGCCATCCCAGCACACGGACAGAAGACCACAAAACGAACGGCCCGGCAGGGTTACGCGTTCCTGTGATCCCAGCACCAGGTCAAGAGAGGTAGAAGGACAGTGAGTTCCAGCACGTTCCTCCAAAACACGGAGCGAGAAAGGGAGTTAGGGAGGAAATGAACTTATGTTTGCACACCATTTTCCATGCCTTGTTACGTACCTGCAGTCAGTCCGTGGGAACAAAGTACAAAGTATATTTTCAGTTAGCATGGAATGTATCAGGCTTGTGTCAGAGTACAATTTACTTTTCTCACTTAATCTCCTGTTTTCCCATGTGGGTTCTTCTAGGTTTATAGAACATACTTTGTAACTGTGTTTTGCCCACTGAGGTCAGGGAAGCATTATTTCATTACTATTGGTGTGTGTGCGCGCGCGCTCACACATGCCAGTACTGGGGTTTGGACTTAGGGCTTGGTACTTGCTGGTGGCACTGGAACCCGCGATCAGCGAAAGGAGTCGGAACCTATAAGCTGCGGTGACTTCCCTTCACGACACCAAGACAGTGATGAGCCAGCAATAAAGTCAAATAGCTCAGGGTATTTAAAGCAAGCTCCAGGGCGTGTGGGGTGGGGTGGGAGGAGGCAGGACCACTCACTCACAGGTGGCCAGTGATAGTTTCTCCATCGGCAAAGTTACAGAAGCAGAGCTAGCAGTTAGTGATTACAAAATGGCGATTATGAATAACCAAAGCCATAAGTCCTTATCCCACATCTTCCCATCAAAGAAGCAAGTGAGTGAAATAGCAATTACCGTCTCTATAAGCAAAAGTAGTAAGTCCGCCAAGCAAAAACCACATTCCAACACTTCTTATCACATCCCAAATCAAACCACTTTCCAGGTTTTCTGGCTCTTTCTGAGTTTTGCTGTTATTCACCCGATTCCAGTAGCTCGTGTTAAACTCAGTCAATTACTTCAGCCTTTATCTTTGGATCTTTTTAATGACTTAGCCTGGAGTCTTTTTTCTACAGGGAGATCCTGCCTTTCAAGTTTGGCCCTATTCTTTTTTTTTTTTTTTAATTGTGAAAACACTGTACATGGGCAAGAGAATGAGTACATTTCTTTTTTTTTGGGTCCAGTCATAGGGCCTGAACTGTGGGCCTGGGTGCTGACCCGCAGCTCTTCAGCTCAAGGCTAGCACTCTACCACTTGAGCCACAGCACCACTTCTGGCTTTTTTCTTTTTGCTTATGTGGTGCTGAGGAATCGAACCCAGGGCCTCAGGCATGCAAGGCAAGCGCTCTACCACTGAGCCACCTTCCCAGCCCTAATGAGTACATTTCTTATCAAGCATTGTTGCCTTTTCCTTTGTTTCCCCTTCCCATCCCTTCCCATCTCCCACCCCCCTTTGGCCCTATTCTCAATAATTTTGTTCTGTTTCTATTTTCACATTTTATATTCTTTTGGGGGCATCATCACACACCCTCTACAGCTTGGGCCATGCCCCCAATGCTGGGGCAGCAGCGAAATGAGCCAGGCCCCGCCTGCGCTGGAGCCAGCTCTTAGCCCTGACCATTTTTTGTGTATAGTTCATGGGTTCATTGCATTGATATGCAACCATCCATTTCCAGAACTTCTCATTTTTTCTTTTTTTACCTGTCGTGGGGCTTGAACTCAGGGCCTGGGCACTGTCTCTGAGCTTCTTTTTGCTCAAAGCTAGTGCTGTACCACTTGAACCACACTGCCACATCAGGCTTTTTTCTGTGTATGTGGTGCTGAGGAATCGAACCCAGGGCTTCATGCACGGCAGGCCAGCGCTCCACCACTGAGCCACCTTCCCAGCACCAGAACTTTTCTTCTGTTGCAGGACTGAAGCCCTACCTTCCTATACATTCACTCTCCGCCCTTCTCCCCCAACTCTTGCACCCACAGCCCACTTTCTGTCCTCCTGAATGTGAGACTTTGTGGTTGGACTCTTAACAAACGTCCTTTTGTGAACGACTATGCCACCTGACATTAATGGGAGCCTGTAATCCCAGCTAGTCAGAAGGAGTCCACGAGACTCTTATCTCCAATTCCAGCAAAAGCTGAAAGGCAAAGCGTGGCTCCAGTGGTAGAGCACCAGCCATGAGCAAAAAATGTTAAATGAGAGCACCCAGTCCTTAAATTTAAGACTCCATACCAGGAATAAAAAAAGAGAGAAAAAGAAAAAAAGGCGGATGCTGGGTGCCCTGCCATCCTAGCTGCTCAGAAGGCTGAGATCCGAGGATCTCGGTTCAAAGCCAGCCAGGCAGGAAAGTCCATGAAACTTTTTTATTTCCAATTACAAAGAGGTAGAGCGCTCACCTTGAGCTGAAGAGCTGAGGGACAGCGCCCAGGCCCGGAGTTCAAGCCCCAAGACCAACCCCACCCCCCAAAAAAGGAAAGAAAGAACGGGTGCAGCGGACAGCAGCAGGAAGGACTGGGGAGGAGCTGGGGTGCTGCTGGGCCCCGGCAGGTGTCCCGCCTGTGGCCGCCAAGCAGTCCCGGCAGCCGCCGCCAGAGGGCGAGCGCGCCTCGTGACGCGCCACCTGCAGACTGCGCGCGGGCAGACCCCGCCCCGCGCAGGCCCCGCCCCGCGCAGGCCCCGCCCCCGCCCCGCGCAGGCCCCGCCCCCGCCCCGCGCAGGCCCCGCCCCCCGCCCCGCGCAGGCCCCGCCCCGCGCAGGCCCCGCCCGCCCGCCCCGCTGCTTCCCACGGCCTCGGCCCGCCCAGCCGCTCCTCACCTGGGTGCGAGCTGCGCCCCGCCCCGCAGGCGCCCGGGGCGCTCAAAGCCTGGGACCCGGCGTCGCGCATTTCCCACGGCCCAGTTCCCATCGCCTCCAGCACCATCTCTGACCTCCTCCCAGAGGGCCGGCCCTGACCCCCACCCCCAGGACAGAGGCCCGTCCCCCCCGCCAGTCACAGGCCCATTCCAGCACTTCACACTTTGAAATCATCGCGTTTTTCATGACTTTTTTTTTTTGCAGTCAACTGGAAAAAAAAATTGCAGCACCTGCATGCAACCCCTCCCTTCCTTCCTTCCTTCCTTCCTTCCTTCCTTCCTTTTTTCTGTGGGACGTGGGGCCTGAACTCTGGGCCTGGGCGCTGTCCTTTAGCTCTTCAGTTCAAGGCTAGCGCTCTACCACTTGAGCCACAGCGCCACTTCCAGCATTTTTCTTTTTGCTTATGTGGTGCTGAGGAATCTAACCCAGGGCCTCATGCATGCAAGGCAAGCACTTTTCCACTGAGCCACCTTCCCAGACCCTGCATTTCTTTCTTACTAAAACTTTTTTTTTTTTTTTTTTTTCTGTGCCCTGGTTCTGGGGCTTGTACTCTGGACCTAGGTCCTGAGCTTTTTCACTGATGGTTGTTGCTCTACCTCTTGAGCCATAGTTACACTTTAAGCCCCATCCCCCACCCCCCATTGATTGGAGTTGGAGTCTCATGGACTTTGAACAGTAATCCTTAGATCTTAGCCTCCTGGGTGGCTGGGATCACAGGCATGAGCCCCTGGCGCCCAGCTTGCCCCTGGTTTCTCTATAATTCCTCTAAGAATTAGACCCGACTTATAATAAATGCTAAATGAAAGACAATAGCAACAATCAAGTCAATCACTGCTGTTTGGGATACGAAAAGCTCAGTGGCAAAGTACCTGCTTCAGCTGGGTGCCAGTGACTCAGGAAGCTGAGATCTGAGGATCATTGTTTGAAGCCAGCCTGGGCAGGAAAAGCTTGTGAGACTCTTTTTTTTTTTTTTTTTTTGGGTCCGGTCGTGGGGCCTGAACTCTGGGCCTGGGCGCTGTCCCTCAGCTCTTTTAGCTCAAGGCGAGCGCTCTACCACTTGAGCCACAGCACGACTTCTGGCTTTTATCTTTTTGCTTATGTGGTGCTGAGGAATCAAACCCAGGGCCTTAGGCATGCAAGGCAAACGCTCTACCACTGAGCCAACTTCCCAGCCTCAAGCCTGTGAGACTCTTATCTCCAATTAGCCACAAAAAGCTAGAAGTAGAGCTGTGGCTCAAGTGGTAAAGTGCTAGCCTTGAACAAAACAGCTCAAGGACCGAACCTAGGCCCTGAGTTCAAGCCCCCGGACTGGACCACACAAAATAAATCACCTGCTTCTCATACAGAAAGCCAGGGGTTTCTTCCCCAGCATGATTGATTCATCTAATCTCCTTTTGTAAATTATCTTTCAATCCTAAGAGACAGTCAGAGGTATGAATTATTATCAACTAAATATTACAGAAAGAGCCAGGTGGTGCACATCTGTAATTCCAGTACTTAGGAAGGTGAGGCAGGAAGATCAGGAATTCCAGGCTTCAAAATTAATAATATCCCAGCTCTGGTAGTTCATGCTCTATAATCTTAGCTACTGAAGAGGCTGAGATTTGAGGATCCAGGTTCGAAGGCAGCCCAGGAAGGAAAGTCAGTGAGACTCTTATCTCCAGTGAACAACCACGAGAAAACCAGAAGTGGAGCTGTGGCTCAAGTAGTAGAATACTAGTCTTGAGGGAAAAGCCAAGCAAGAGTCTGGGGCCTTGAATTCAGGCCACAGCACATATACACAATAATAATTCTAAAAC